TCTCTCTCTCTCTCTCTCTCTCTCTCTCTCTCTCTCTATCTATCTATCTATCTATCTATCTATCTATCTATCTATCTATCTCTATCTATCTATCTATCTCTCTCTCTCGGCCTCTCACTCGCTCTCTCTCTCTCGCTCGCTTTCTCTCTCTCTCTCTCTCTCTCTCTCTCTCTCTCTCTCTCTCTCTCTCTCTCTCTCTCTCTCTCTCTCTCTCTCTCTCTCTCTCTCTCTCTCTCTCTCTCTCTCTCTCTCTCTGTCTCTCTCGCTTCATAGCTTCATACAGTGCTTTTATTCCTCTTTTTTCAAGCATCATTATGATTTTTGTGTGTCGTTCTACAACTTCGGCTTTGAGATGTTGAGGCTAGAGAGGTGAGCAGAGTAAGCCTGATTCCCCGTTTGGACTTCTCTGTTGACATGCGCCCCTCGGCGCTCATAATATGACCTTATACAGTTGCGAGCGCCGTAAAACCTTACTAAAACAAACAAACATGAATCGAGCATCATGCTCACTCACACAAGTTGTAGCCCCCTGACAGTCACGTCTAGTGAAAGGGGTATGAAAGTCTTCTTCTTTTAAAAAAAATTTTGTAGAGGTGACACTCGCAACTGCATAAGATCATATGAGCGCCAAGGGGTGGATGTCAACAGAGAAGTCTTTACAGGGAATCAGACTTCCTCCGCTCACCCCCCTAGCTTCAACAGCACAAAATCTGTTTCGACTTTCAAGGCACCCCGGAAATAGCGGGTCACAAGAGTGTGACAAACATGTAAAAGAAGAGGAGAAATGACAATAGAAAGGATTAGGGAAGAAAAAGCTGCAGTTCCCTTTTGTAGATCAAGCAGTTTTAAGAGCGTGACATTGATGAATCAGCCCATTTGCAATTCTACTGCGCGTGAACGAGAAATATCCCCATTTTGGGAATGGCCGACACTTCAGTCAGTGGCACCGCCCCGGGAGGTAGTGCAGAGAACATGAAGAGTTGGAGCCAGTTGGCCTACATGTGAGCAGCCTCGGTTCACGCCTATGGTGACAGGGAAAGGCTCTTCTCGTTTTTTTTCTGGTGGTGGGGGGGGGGGGTGTTGTTGGTGGGTTTTGTTGTTTTTAAAATGTATTTGGGGGAGGGGGTTATTTGTTGTTGTTGTTGTTGTTTGATATTGTGTGTGTGTGGGGGGGGGGGGGGGTCCTTTTGTAGTTTTTTTTTAGGGGAGGGGGGATATAATGGCTATTTACCCTAGCCTACATGCATGCCATCTTGAGACTTTCTCACCAAGTTGATAAACTAGGGCGTGCACCCAAATTTTGCTATCATAAATATTAAAATAATAATAATAATTTATAATAATAATAATAATATTTATTATAATAATAATAATAATAATAATAATAATAATAATAATAATAATAGTAATAATAAATAGCATTTGTATAGCGCATATCCCCGCTCGACAGCAAACTCTATGCGCTTTACACTATATTATTACCCCAGCAGACCATAGAACACTCAGAAACATTCTCAGCTTCCCGAGAAGCATACAGTGCAAACAGCTGATTAAGCGCTCAAACACTAGCATACTGACAAGACATTTCACTGTATATTATTTTAGCTGGGTACCCACTCCCACCTGGTTGAAGTGAGGAAAATTCGTGTAAAGTACCTTTCCCAAGACACAACGTGGCTGATTGGCGGGTGCTCCGGTGTGGTTTGCTTCTTCTTTCCTATCAAACATCTATCGTCCTTATCTCCCCTTCTTCTTCTTTCATATTTGTTACTCTCTTGTAACACATTTAATCTCCTGGCGCTCATATGGCCTTATGCAGTTGCCAGCGCCGTAAAACCTCTACTAAAACTAAAACTAAAACAAAGACACAACGCCAGAGCCCTTGACGGGATTCGAACCCACGATTACGGTTTCCGAGTCTGAGAGCCTAACCCCTAGGTCACAGATGTAGGTGCCTTCAGAGAAAAGGGTGTCCAATACCTGTGTGGGGTTAACAAATAATAAAATAATAATAATAATAATAATAATAATAATAATAATAATAATAATAATAATAATAATAATAATAATAATAACACATAACATTTATATAGCGCATTTCTAAAAAAAAAAAAAGTAGCTCAATGCGCTTTACATTGGAATACTCATTTAAAAAACCTTTCTTACTACTTCCTTTCGTCTCGTGCAATGTATATTTTTGCATACACACACACACACACACACACACACACACACACACACACACACACACACACACACACACACACACATGCACACGCTTACACACACACACACACACATGCACACGCTTACACAAACACACATGCACACGCTTACACACACACACACACACACACACACACACACACACACACACACACACACACACATACACACGCACACACACACACACACACACACACACACATACACACAATCACATACACGGACTATTTTCCTCCAGACATAGGCACAGAACAACTATAATTGTTTTAAAAACAACGCAAAAAGCTTATGAAATGCCGTGTACATGTAGATGAGATCCATGTCTTGTTCCTGTGTTTCTCTTGTATTTGCCGGGCAGCAGCCGCTATCCGCTGTGCCCCCCCCTCCCCTCCCTCCTCCCTCTCTCTCCCTCTCTCTCTCTCTCTCTCTCTCTCTCTCTCTCTCTCTCTCTCTCTCTCTCTCTCTCTCTACCTGTCCCCATCGTTTTATGCAAGAACAATTTTGAAATTATGCAAACTGAGATCCAAAAACGTAAATTTATGCGATTCTGTTAATTTTAACAAAGAATGATAAAGGAAAATAATCAGAAATTATGCACACAAAAAAAAGATCAAATTTTACTAAATTATGCGGGGACTGCTCTACTAAAAAAAAAAAAAAAAATATTATATTGACCTTTCTGACTGTAAATGTTAATTATTGGCATGTGGATTTGACGAGAAGACAGTTAAGAAAAATTCTGACATGGCTGTTGCTGGCAATGTAGAGGAGTGAAATGTCGCTATCTTTGTCGATAGATAGATAGATAGATAGATAGATAGATAGATAGATAGATAGATAGATAGAG